AGAACTTCACAGGTAGCTTTTTTAAGCCAGATATACTTAAAAAAATCTTCACGTCTTGCAGGAGAATCTTTAAAAATCCAATATAAGGAGGATAAGAATGATGGAATGTCCCAGCCAGTGGATGACATCCCATGCTTGAAAGCATTGTTAAGAATGTGTAAACCACATGTCCCTAATGTCAAGCATTGAATGTTATATTCCTTTGTCAAGTCCTGTTGCAATAAATCATAAAATTTCCAGTTTACTGCAGGACCATCCATCGATATTTGTAAGAGTTTTTGACAAGTCTAGTTTTTTTCAACACATTCATAAAATTTGGATAAAATAATTTCACTTGTTGCATGCCCTATAAATGCAGAAGTAAGGTACTGAGTTCTGACCTTATTTTCGTGATGCCAGTACCTCACATAAATATCTAGTTGCTTCTTTTGATTTGTCAGATTAAGAGTCTCATCAAATAGTAATGTAAAAAACTCAGCATTTTTACAATGCTTTAGTAACAAAGTTTTAAAATAAGGGCCAAGACCAAAATAACAGATATAAGCACATTTCTTTTCACCACATGAAAACTATTTTGCAATGGAACTATCCGGGAACATTTTAGTGAATAACGGCCCAATATCATCGCACGATTTAAAAGAATAGTGGCTTTTGATGCACTTAAAAGCCCACAATATTTCTGCATCTGTAACTTCAGATTTGAAAAGAAAAGAATTAATTTTATTATTTTCTACACTTATTGATGTTGAATTAGCAGTTCCATCTTTTCCTGAAGTAGATAGTTCTTCTAACTTGACAAAATTCATGATACTGTTAGAAGAAACTCCGCAGTTGAGAAGGGAAAGATGTTTTGCAGCTAAAAAGGGCACTACATGCAAGGCATTAGTAAAATTAAGTAGCACATATATATGTATATAATATATATATAAAATAAGAAATCTATATATATAATAAAAAATGTATACTGAAAATATACATATATATATATATATACACAGTACAAATTCAGAGATCTGGACATGCAATATCTGGAATGATCTAAAATCCGGACCTCAAAGCCACCACCAACCAATTTTTTAAGGCTTTTTTGGAGGGAAGGGGTATGTTTTACGCATGCGCATTAGATTTTTTTCTTCATCATAAAAAAACATGTCGGAAATCTCGATTCTTAATCTCAGTTTGGCGCTAAATAAAATATCTCATTATTGAAGAAATAATTATTTTAGCATAAATTTGTGTGATTAGTAACTTGACTCCATAGTCCATAGCTTGACTCCATAGCTGCGTATCTGCTTGGCATTATCTCATACCGAAACATTTGTTAATTTTACAGCAACTAATATTTTATATCCTTGATGCCGAAATCGCGAATCATTATTTATTGTATTTTGCTTTCATCACCGCATGTTTATCAACGGATGACAACTTGAGTGATGACTCATGCAGCGACGCCAAATAACAGAGTATTATCCGATTACAGATTTAAGTTTAATGCGCTAAAATGTTGACAAGGGGAGATTTAACAGAAATTTCTTTCCTTATGCTAAAAATAGATTTTGTTAATGATACTCATAGGACAAACGATTATATTTAGTGCTATTTTGAATTAAGAATAACTGATTTGTTATTCACATAAAGCCAGAACCAGCGCCAGAGCTCGCATGGCCGCACCAGGCGGCAGAATTTAGGGAAGTTAAACAGAAGTTTTTCATTGCGATGACAATGCCCCAATCATCAATCAATTAACGGAGGGCGAAATCTGTAGTATGGTTCTAAATCCAGAAAATACAGCTACCGATAGTGAAGAAAGTAACAGAGAGGTTACTGAACGAGAAAAAATTTTGATTGACAAGTTATTCGGAATTCTCGACACAGCAATTACAGGACTTGAACAATGGAACTTAATAACTCAACAAGAAATTATATGTCTATAGTATTAGTCTAAAGTATTAGCAGAGAAAACAAATCAAACAACTCACATTGAAAGAAATGTTTAATAAAGTAAACATATAAATATTAAGCTCTTTTCTTTTGTAAATTTTGATACCCTTTAAATCATAAATGGTTCATTATTTCATAAATCATGATTTCATATTTTCAATTTTATAATTTCTACGTGCCATCTTAGTAGATTTAAAATGATCTAATATCCAGAAAAATCTCAAATCTGGGATCACTGAAGTCCCGACCTCGGACTTTATACTGCATAAATATATAATATATATAATACGGAATGTATATTTTCAGTTAAACTTCTACCCAATAACTTTAGTAATTCATGAAAGTTAATTTTGCGTCTAGTTAATTCAGGAAAATTAGTTTCAATTAGTTGTTTAAAAATATTAAAAAATTTTTAATTAGTTAGTTGTTTTCAACTAATAATTGTATCGCCATTAGCAAAAATAATGCTTTACTATCAACAGCATAGGATTAAACCAAATACTTAATTGTCTATTGAAGCTTCAAAACGTATTTCCGAACTTCACTTTTTCTCGGCTAGCGTTACCGAATTACCTAAAATCAAAATGGAGCCAACAAATTTCCCGCGAAATCGATAACAGACCCTCTGCAGAAATAAACTCATAATCCCGATATCCCATACATATAGTATGTGCAAAAGAGAATAAACTCCGTAGAAGGTGATAAAAAATTAATTTATGGCTTAACCCCTTCGAGCTGGGTAGCGAAAACCCGAGCTTATCGCAGAGGCCGGCAGTGTCTTCCACGAGCGTCTCTCCAGGGCAGGGGGCTTTTTTGCTACTAAGCCTAAATCCATGAAATTTCCGAAGTATCAACGCATTGTTTAATAATGCTCTATAGAGTATTTAAACGGCTTATGCTTTATAGATATTTATATATATATATATATACTTTAATTACCTTATTTCTTGTTTAAATGCATATTTTACACATTTTATTTTAATTACTCACCATTTTATGACTTTTAACATTATACATCTGGAAACTAAATATATTACTTAAAATTCTCTTTTCGTATGAAAAATTTGAAAACAGGGATCTACGTTACATTCCTTGAACTCGTAATAACTCATTTGCCGTTTTGGAGGATTTTTCCGGGAATGTGAACAAACGAAGCATCATCGTCTCATTTTCTTATCAGTCTCTTCTGAACAAAGTTTTGGAAAATGTCTTTTAGTTAATCTTTCAGAATCAATATCAGAATCAATATCTGAAATATTTTGCATCATTTCTGCTATTTCATGCTCTGTTAAACATTTTTGACGCTTCGACATTGCAAAGGGTAAAAACAGAAAGAATTCACGTCTAACAAGATATAATTATTTTCTAAAAACTGAACTGTAAACCGAAATACTCAACGCTTTAGCGCATATAAAACTTCTACTTACAATAAACAACTACCACGTGCGAATAAAGTGCGATTTAAAGAGACGTCATAAATCACGCCATTCGGAAACATTTAGTTCCCCGTTTGTTTATATAATCAAAAACACGTGTATGTGAGTCATGCTTCTCTCATTTCGAGTAGAAGGTCTAATGTACATGTATCTGAAACCATATGGACATACAGTGCCATCTTGTGGCAGAAATTATAGTTTGAAAAATGTTCCAGGACGCTGGCACAAATACGTGACAGTAGGTAGTAAACGGGAAAATGCTCTGTCACGCCTGCGTGTCGGCCGGTAGGTGAGTGTGTACGTTGCTGGCACGTAGACATGACAGTCGGCGCGAAGAGGTTAATTGAAACAAACATAGAAATTAAGCTAAGCAAAACTGTGTAAAAACAAAACTTAATTTTCATGTGAATTTTCAGCGCTGACTCTCCCATTATAGAAATTTCAATTTGTTTCAGACAAAGACCACATTTAGCTTTATAAGGATTGTCATCCATCAATATCCAGTCTTCATAGTCAGCTTGATGAAGCCACCGTTTATTGAAAATGCACTTTCCTGGCATCTCGTTCCTATTGGCGTCGAAAGGGTTGTGGCCTTCCAAGTTGGGATTGCTCTACTTTTGGCAAAATATTTTCAGAATCCCCCCTTTTTTTTTCTCGAGCACCTTCATCATCACTTTCGCCTCTTAAAGAACTTCCGACTTCACGCTTTCGTCACAATCTGCCTAAATTTATGGATAACACCTGTTTCGAAAGATTGGGTGAATAGCCAATCAGACACCGATACTTTCATTTGGGTAGCTTTTTTTTTTTTTTTAAATCGTTTGCAAAGCAAATCCGCCAACAGATTGGTTAAGAACCATGCAATTTTAATTCCATATTCATGAGAAATCGCAATTCACACATAGAACGACAATCATTAGAAATGATAAGAAATGTCAAATGAGCAAAATTAAGGACCGTTTATTCATTTTGGCCAAAATTAAGGACTTTTAAGGACCGTACGAACCCTGTTTCTTATATATATATATATATATATTCCTGATTACTAGCAATTAAAAGATCTGCCACTCAAATTTACTTTAAGATTGAACATTTCTTGAAAATATTTATATTACATAAAGCTCATTTGATTACCGGATACACCAGATTCTTATATGTATATATAAGCTAACTTATATCAACATGGTCTAGTTACATTTCCCAGGAGTAACTTCCAAATATAGAAAAGGATTGAAATGGTTTCGTTGAAGACTCAAATAATTTTTACACACACTTAAAGAAATTTTTAGCTTATAAAATCCATCCAATTAAAGGGGTTTAATTAAAATATATATATATTAAAACATTACGCAGCTTTAAATTTGTTAGGAAAGAAAACCAGTAATAATAAGAATAAATAAAATAAATGGGAAAGAAATCTGTAATAAGCAGCAAGAATCAGTGTTAGCGTTAATAAATTCGCATTTATGCTAAGAGCTTCCTACAGAAGTGAAAACAGCTAAAGGTTTTTGTTTAACCTTCCATAAACTATAGCATAGTTATAGCAAAATAAGGATAAAACATTAAAAAACATCCAACTGAATAAATTTGGAAGAATTTTTTGGTAATATTCAGTATACATACTTTGTTAATGCTGAAGATTTCACTGCATTTGAAGTATCTAACTGATAATTATGTTCAGAAACAGCTAACTGATAATTATGTTCATTGTTTGCTGTATTTTGCTGAGAACATAGGTTTTTTTCAGTTTGTTTTACTATTTTTTCTGTAGATTTCTTTGGAAGCGCACTTTCGGGAGTATCTTCTATGTGAATAGTAGGTATTTGGGGAGTTTGTAAGGATTCAGACTGAAATAGATCTTCATATTCAGTTTCTGGTAGTGTTGAATAAACAAGTACATTTTGAGGCTTTAAAGTAAAAGAAGTCCCAGGTTCTGAAGCTTTTATTGCCTCAGAATCATCAGATACACTGTCTTCTGGAATTGATATGACATTGTCAGCAATTTTGCTTTCTGGAATTGATATTGTAACATAATTTCCATCACTGTGCTCTGTTGCTGTAATATACTCCAAAGGAATACCCAAAACTGATTCAGAATCATCACTGAGGGCTGGTGTCCTGTAACATTTCACATAAGTTAAAAACTTGCCAATTATTTTTTACATTAAAAAAACATTGACAAAAAAACTTAACAGCATTTAATTATTTATGAAAATAATGTAAAAAACAAGCACATCGGTTAAGAGTCACATCTTGGGGGGGGGGAACTTTTACTGCAAGATGTAAGTAACTACAAAGTTCCCTCTAATGAAAGCCCTTGAGGTGTAGTGGCTAGCAAAGCCATCTAGCAAACTAAATTTTTGATTTGCCTCTGGGGAATGGTGAAGTTGATTTTTGCACTGCTTACTTCAAAAATTTAATACTGTTAACAATGGCAAAATCCATACAAAGAAAGAGTGCCATTATTAACACATCGTTCAATAATCCTGAGACTAACTAAGAAAAAAACCCATCCATTTCAAAAAATTCACGTTTATTCATCAACATAATCAACATCAAGAGCTATGCAATCATTCCAATGCTTTTCTCTATACCATGCTTGTAAAACGATTTGTCCTTGTCTGCAAAATAAGCTTCAGTGGCAGTGATGACTTCCTCATTCGAACCAAATCTTTTACCCTGGAGCATCTTTTTCAGATCAGTAGTCGCTAGGGGCTAGGTCTGGGGAGTATGGTGGGTGGGAAAGCAGAGTGAAGCCCAACTTGTTCAATGTAACCAGTATTTGCATTGACTTGTGGCACGGGGCATCGTCTTGATGGAAGACGATTTTTTTTCTCTTCATGTGCGGTCTTTTTTTTTTTTTTCCGATTTCGTTCTTCAGATGCACCAGTAACTCACTGTAATAGGTACTATTGATACATTTTCCCTTTTCAAGGTATTCAATGTAAAATATACCTCGCACATTCCAAAACACTGATGCCATAACTTTGCCAGCTGACTGTTGCGTTTTGGGATGCTTTGAATGACTTTCACCGGCTGCACGCCACTCAGCTGACTGCCGCTTTGATTCTGGAGTGAAATAATGGATCCACATTTCATCCATTGTCACATACCGATGCAAGAAATCCTGTTTATTGCGAGTTAACAGTGACAAACAGCTCTGTGAATCGTCGACTCATTGTTGCTTTTGTTCCATTGTGAGCACATGTGGCACCCATTTGGAAAACACTTTTTTCATGCCCAACTTTTCAAGTAAAATCGCACACAGACTTCCAGTTGATATGTTTACGATCTCGGCAATCTCACAAACTTTCACTTTGCGGTCATTCATCACGATTTTCAACACTTGATTCACGTTTTCCGGAGTGACTGCTTCATTTGGCCTACCCGAGCATGCCGCATCATTTGTATCCGTGCAACCACGTTTGAAGTGAGCATACTGACGACAAATGGTTGTTTTCGATGGAGCAGAGACTGGATAACATTTTTCAAGCCATTGCTGAGCCTGGACGGTATTTTTGCCCATTAAATAGCAATGTTTGATCAACACTCGAAATTCATTTTTCTCCATTTTGTCCCCAAATGAACAAGTAGTGTCACTTTCACCACAGTACTGTGCTGTTTCCGGTCTGAAGGCCATGAAAATTAAGACACGGATCATTTGAAGGTTAGTTGTTTCAAAAAACAAAGTCAGGTTGATATTACTACGCCATCTGTTGGTTAGTCCCGAGACTTATTGAACGATGTGTTACAATTTAAATACCACATTTTACTCATGTACTCCCTCATTTTTTAATAATTTTAATATCTGAAACAAATGGCAGGAGCTGCACTGTATATATGAATTCTGAGGGAAGTAAGGAAGAATTTACATGATTAAAATGTATGCATAGAAAAATATGTTACTGTTCTTCAATTCTTCCTTTAATTTTCATATTACATGTGGCTATTTAGAATTTTATGCTACAAAAGAAAAAAGATCTTTGTTATGCTATATAAATTAAACCTGAAGATTCTTCTAACAAAGAACAATACATTTTAAAAACAACCAAGGAAGAAATTTACAGTGCATTATCAGCATCCATAGTACCTTCCTGTGAACAAATGGTTACAAGTATACTTTAAAATAATGAACTAGGGAATGCTGCTCCCTTGATATTCTATATTTATTCTATTTCCTCATCTTCATGGAGGATAAGATAAATGGCTTTTGCTAAATTTAGAATTTTGAAATATATTCAGTTGTATTTTAAGCTCCTCACTGGATTAAAAATTTATTCTAAATGGAAAGACCTGATAAATACCAAACACATTCACCATTGGTGTGCTTGTTTTTCATATTTTCACAATATCTCTTGCAAGCACATTATTCTGACTATCTGATTTTGATTATCATTTCACAAGGACAGATAGATACCACTTGGTCATGACAAATAACATACCTTCTACCTTATGAAAAATGATATAGGACAAAAATATAAAATTGTTAAAATATTGATAAAACTTGATTTAAGACATAACACACTATCCCCCCAAAAGTTCCCACTCAACAGGAATAACAATGGGGGGGGGCACATCACCTAAAAGAAAAAAATGAATTCAAAGGTAATATCTAATTATAGCGATAAAACATAAATTTCCGACACTTTTAAAAAGTTCTCTAAATTTTTACACATCATTTTGCATTAAGAATAATTTCAATAAATTTAAAAAGAAATAAAATGCATTTACTTATATATATATATATGTAAGATAAAAATGTATGAATCAGAATTATAATATAACTATAAACATTAATTCTTCCTCTCTATTCTAAAATTGTAATAACTTCTTTGCATTGCGTCATTTCTAGATCACTCTATGATCGGCGCAGCTCTGATGACGTAATCATTGGGAACTGAAACTGTCCTTGTAAACCAAAACTTTTCTCTTCGCGTGCCTCCATCTTGCATAACTACGCTCTTCAGCTTTTGCCCTCTACTCTGCTAAGATGTAATTTCGCTGGCTTGCTTTCTATCTTAACAATATATAAAAATGTAAATCTTCTGTGGAAAGGCACGACTAGAGTGCCAAGTGATTGTGGCCACAAATATCAATTGGAAATAAAAATGGAATTAAAACTGCCTCGACTGCCAAGATCTTTAAATACTACGCAATCAAAATTCTTCTTCAATATGGATATAAGCACGCATCGACAGTGTTCCGTTTCTCCTTTGTGCTTTTAATATTACATATATATATATATATATACATATATATATATATACACACACACATATATATAGGCTTAGAAAAATAAATAAATTATTACTGAGGCTGAAGAGGCTCAAGTATACTCAATGGCTCCATGGCAGATGTGTTCATGGGGCTATTAAGACTTGAATCTAAAGGACATTCACTCTCTGTAGCATTTTCTAATTCACTTTTGCTTTCTGGAGACTTGATAGAAGGTGATGGACCAGAGCTCTGGACTTCATCATGATCGAAATCAGTAACTTCATGTATAACGGGGCCGAGAGGATTAACAATTTTATCTTGAGAAACCTAAATTTATAATTAAATTTTGGTTACAGGTATGACTAAAATCACTGGAAAAAATGTTTTAAATTAACACTTTTCAAGTACACTTAAATAAGTGTAATATAAAAATAATTCATGTAAGTTTTTATTAAAAAATACACAAAATTTATAAACCAATAACTCAAATTCAAAAATAAAATATATACCATTGGACAATCATAATATAATAAAGCACTAAAGGCTTCTAACATAATAACATGAAATTTTTATAACAATAAGCACAAGGGTTTCCTAAAAAAATTCAGACAATCAATTAGAAGGGATACCTCCAGTTATGTTAAAAAATCTGATTATTAAGAAACTAATTTTAGAAGGATATTAAAATTGTTTAATAGAGGGAGGCTCAAGGTAGCATATATATAAACATAATGAGTTATATGGTCTTTTACATATAGCATAATTTAATGTTTAAAAATCATAACCATAATTTAATGTTTAAAAATACTTTCCAACAAACATTTCAACAAGTGAACAAACTAGATTAATTCAGCCTTCATTTTTGATTATTGTTTCAGTTAAACTGCAAGTTGTTTCATGTTTTAAATTTTAATAAAAATAATTTTAGGATCACAATTAATGATAATGAACAAAACCAAAATTCTTGCCTCGGGATAGTTAATATATATCAAGAGAAAGCAAATAAATAATCTTTTACCTCTTAGCTCATAAGAGCAAAAGACAATTTTAATTTTGAAAAAGTTTTCCTATCACAACTAAAAAAAAGTTCAAAAGAAAAATAACCATTAATATAATTTCAACTTAAAATGAATTGTGATCTCCGAGAAACAACACTTCTGACACGAGGTATTGGAACTTATTAATATAGCATTAGAGGAATATATACTTCATGCTTCATAGAATAATCCAATATAAAGAAATTAATTTTAAAAGAATATTTTGATTCTTTCATAAATGCTCAGGATAGGCATAAATGTAACCAGACACATGGTCTTTGACATTTTAGCTCATTGCAGTAATGTGTAATAATGAAAAATATTTTTACACAGATTTCAACCAGCGAATGAAAAAACCGATTTTTTCTAAATCTAGCCTATTTTAGCTTCATTTAAATTTTAAATACTGCAAACTTAATAAAAATTATTATCTTAAAAAAATCTTTCAATTTTCTTGACAAAGAAAAAGAATGGTCTCAGAATAGTGTATACATACAAGTAATTAGGTAAATGGTCTGTCATGACTTAGCTCATCATAGCCAAATTGAGCTAGCAGTATATAAGTAACCACATTGAAGAAGATTTCTCTCTCTCTCTCTCTCTCTCTCACACACACACACGATTTAGAATGCATTACGAAAGAAGACCTCAATTCAGAAGTCATAAGTGGAAAACTGAAGACTACAGTTAATTGTACTTCAAGATGGAAACAATTATTTGAAAGCACATTCTGTAGATATTAAATAGCACAATCGATGGAATTTGCAATCCCACAAATCCATATAAAACATATAACACCTTAAACAATGCAAGAAATCATGGAGCAGTGAACAAGCGTTAGGCGACCGCAGGAGAGAATGTATTATGTATTAAACAGCTGGAGTTATTTACAACCTCGGATCCTTTGTTTCAATTCTGCACAGGATCCCTTTGTTACAATCACCGAGCAAGACCTTTAAAAATGATTATGTAAAGCAACTGCAATAATCATGAAGATTGAATACCCATTTTATTTTCTTGTACGAAGTAAAGGAAGTATTGTAATCGCCGAAAATTTCGGGTATCATATTTCATCAAAAATAACCATTTTGACCGCTCTCAATTCTACCTGAATGACATTTTTGCATTACATATGCATGCACAAACAGAATAAATGGACACTTTTTCCAAAAATGGATTTGAAAGAGAATTTTTCATGACGTCTACACATACGTATCTCGCATAACTCAAAAACGAGTAGCCTCAGAACGTTAAAATTCTGTATGTGGGACTGCTACAATACATAGATGCACACCTCCTATTTTGTTTACAATAGGCCGGGCCAAAAGTATATATGTATATATATACCCACTCTGTTACCCGGCTTGATGAGCTAAGTTTTTTTATTCTTATGTGTTGGTAAACTGAGAATTTTTTGTTTTAAAAGTGACTGAATTATGTTGTACTTATGTTCCAGTTAAGGTTTTTATGCCTTTAATCTGCATGCAATAGTTGTAGAATGAAAACAATTTTAACGTTGTTTAAGTGCTACTGTGCCAAACAAAACTGCCTTTTGTTTATATTTGAAACTCTTAGCGGAATAGTGAATTTAGTCAGTTTCTGGCAGAGGGCAAAGTTTTCTGCACAAAAAAATCTGTCTTTTTGCCTAATTTTAAATGTAATTTTTTTAAAAAGTTTTTATTTAGTATTTTAGATTTTTCTGCCTTTTACAATTTTTAATGAAGGTGTTTTGAGATTTCTTTCTCTTTTTCTTTTTTCGTTTTCTTTCTTTCTTTCTTCTGTATGGAGTAACCAGGTAAGCGATCTTTCATGTTTGCTCTGATGATCTTTTCGATCATCAGAGCAAGAGACAATATTAAGCGTGAGACCTTTCAAGTGCAGTTAACAGGGGGAAAAAAAATTCAAGGCAGCAAACAAGCTTTTTATTCATAATTAACTGGAAAAAGCTGCTCCATTGTTAATTACATTTGTTTGGATGCTTTTTTAAGAAGTCTGAAAATATTAACAAATTATAAAAACTGTTTTAATTTGCCTTTGATTTGATGATTAATTTCCAGGCTGTTTCATATTTAGTAGCGAGCCATTATGATGCTCCTGAAAATTCAAACCTATATCCTGAATTTATCATCTTTCATCAAATATAGTTCAAAAAAGATATATAAAAATTAAAATACTCTATTGACATATTCTGTTAACAACAACAGATAACTAATCTCAATCTAAATTTACAACATCAATGCCTCCACATACCCATTCAGTTCTGCTATCAGTTTCAGCAAGGTAGGAGCTGGTTGGCTGAACGCGAAGCGACTTATCCTAATCAGTATCCTATAGATTTAGTTGACTTTCTAAGAGTGAGGCCTTATAATGAGGCACAGGTATACACATTTCAGGTTCTGCATGCCCCTATTCAGGAGTACTGCAGATTCAGACTTTTCCTTTCATGAATGATAATTCTCAACCTGATCCCAGGCTACTAGGCTAGCCACACTTCAACAAGCAAAGATGTCGATCAAATAGATTACCCAATACACATCTCTGCTCCAAACAGTATGTCTATAATGTCTCGCAGCATAGCCAAGAGTGTTGTGCCAGTACTACGACCATAGCCTCAGAAAGGATATCTGCCTCCCTAGAACAATGCTACTTTGACAAATTTCTATGTATGATTGCTATCCATATCAGCAGATTTAGAGTTTTGCATGTCCTTGTTCAGGGGTACTGTGGATCCAGATTATTTGCTGCACGAATGATATTCTCAACTTGATCTCAGGATACAAGGATAGCCAAAATTCATCCAGCGGAGACGTTGATCATAGAGATTACCCAATATACTTCTCCACTGCAAACAGTATGTCTATAGTGTCTTGCACGATAGCCAAGAGTGTTGCACCACTGCTATGATCAGAGCCACAGGAAGGAAATCTGACTCCTTAGAAAAATGCTATCCGATAAACAGAACATTTGCATTCAAACAGATCATACACATTATTAAATAATTATATTTTTGAGAAAATAGATCACATGAATTTTTTTAAAGCAACTTCATATCAGGAGCAATATCTTAGCCTTAATCAATTTGTAAACATGTCATACGCTTTGATAAATTTCTATGTATGATTGTCATACAGTAATTTATCTTATACCAAACGACAAGAGGTGCTTTAGCCACTAGCCTTCAATTTTGAACACAGTATATTATATCAAATTCTTTAGCTATGGCTCAGGATAGCGTATATATAAATGTAACCAGATAAAAGGTCTTTCATATTTTAGCTCATCATAGCCACAAGTGATTTTGACATATATTTTTTACCGATTTCAAGAAATCAACGAAAGATTTCTGTTTCAGTCCCAATTTATGATGTTATAGCTTAGCATAAACTGCAACTCTTGCAAAATATACAGTTATTAATTTAAATTTTTCTGAAAATAATTTTAGGAGCAACAGTACTCCACGAAGAATGAGAAAACTGGCAATAAAAGTGTTTATGTCATCATTTATGTACAGCAAGGATGTCAAATTCGAGGCCCACAACAAATATTTTTGCAGCCCGGACAATATATCGGCAAATAACAATATATAATAATAAAATAACATTTCAACGAAGAAAAAAATGAAATGTTTACTGCTAAGTAATTAACGATAATTTATTCAGTGTTGTTAGATTACTCACAGCAAGCTGACACACACACTACTTAAATAACAAATGCATGTGAGTAGCTTGCGTTCAACTACCTTCGGCTTTTGGAGGACACGTGCAGTCAGAACTTGTACGCATCGCCCGATAACTGAATGTGGCCAAACTCATGGTCTCAGTTTTCCAATCATAGTTTTGTACGATATTGGTGCATGCATGTGCATGCACTTTGCTTTATTATTAATTATTACTTAATTCATATTGTTACGGATTTCATAGTTATTTATTTAGTTAGTTTTTTTAATTTAGAAATGTAATTAGATTTGCTTCATGTTGCCTTAGCAACGCAGACGATTTTTGAAAAGACAGCTGCGTTGGAAGGTTAAAAATAGAACAGCGCATGCATTTAATACCTAATAAATAAATATCTCGTAATTGCTGTTGCCATCCACAAAAATCCAGATATTTATAGATGTTTCCAGTACATTCTCCTTTCTTAAGTGAGTTAGATAGTGAATATTCGGGTTTGTCCTACTATACCGAGGTACGTTGGTTATCTTGCTCCAAGATTCTCAAACAATTCTGGGATTTGACAGAAGAAATATGTCAGTTTTTAAAAACGAAAAATCAAGACGTACGTTTGTTTTAC